GACTGCATATTTTCTCAAATTGAAGCTTTTGCAATATTTCGCGGCGCCCCTGATAAGAGACCGCGCATCCCCGGGAATCACTGGTCTAGATCAAGGGCTCTTAAACCAAACACTTATGGTTTACTTTACTAACAAAATTGGGAAGGTAGGCAAAAAATACACAGATTGTACGGTTCAAGGAATGTCAGAAAGTCTGAAAACCTATTTGAGGTTCTAAATGCACTCTTCCGAAGAAGTTGCGAATACTTCATATAAAGTGAAATAAAAATAATGCTACTTGAGATACAGAAAATTCCCGCTAGGGAGAATTCCTTTAGCTAGTGTGCACAGCAAGTAGTTTAGCATATAAAGTCGTAGATTCCATATTACCCAATATTAGTGACACCCACTTTAAGCTGGAAAAGTGAGGACATTTTCATATAAATGGCGCGCTCCTAAAGGCCCCCTTTCCTCACACATGCACTAACCTGGAGTAGGCAATCATTACCCTCGGTCATATTTTAACTAGACTAATTTAGGAATCAGTGAAATGCAGGCCAGTTAGCCTGTTTAAAGACTTTTGAGTTCTCTGTAGGGTCTCCCATTTAAACGCATCATTTGGAAGGCGTCTCCACAGTCAAACAGCAAGCCTAGTGTAATCTCGCATTCGTCAGAAAGACCTTGCCAGGATATATAAATGGTCACCCAAAATTGGATTCATTTCGATGATTCAACTGTCTATATAAATAAAAATAAACGGAACCATACAATGTAGAAGTTAATTTCCTACATCTGGAATTAGCTTGCGTGGATGAGTGCTGACGGAATGGACATCGTCTGATATGAGCGAGAGAGATGCCTATGATCTAATAAAGCTAAAATTTAATTTCATCCAACGTTGGCTACGACTGCGTCTTCAAATTTGAAAGTAAATCAAAGGTGCTTTCCCAAACGACTGCTCTGGAGTCAACATCAAGATTACATCAGATATAAAATCTAAAAGAAATAAGATTAAAGACAAATGTTACTTCCAGAAAATCGTAATAGTCTCCTTCCTCGGTACTCTTTAATAAGATCTCAAGGACTATTGCCTGAGGAATATGAACTAAGAAGCTTTATCACAACTTCCAATTTATTCCTGATGCGCTTATCTGTTAATACGTCCATCTTGTACTCCCCATAAAACAAGCGCCCCTCTACGCCCACAATATATCGAGAGATTTGCTGAAGCGGAGCTTGCATCATACGTTGCTGAGCATTGTTCGTGTCAAAAGCATTCGCAACGACAACTCCAACAGACCAGAAAATTTTATTAAAGGTTTGTTTCTTTAATGGATTGAGTGAGGTTGAAAAGATGACTAAGGTATTTTTTCGAATGTTATCGCTTTTAAAACCTGGAGGTAAGTTTTACGAAAATGTTTATTTTAGTGAGGGTATGTGATAGAACGTTAAAGAATGGGAAATACCAAAGTGTTTTTTTGGAAACGAGCTCAATGCTACCTCTATTTACAAATGCTCACTTATACGGTCAAAAGTCTAAGCAGATGGGACTCACTTCGGTTGAAGGTCCTGTAGCTACCAGTTGAAAGTGCTCAAGGCACTCCAGCGTCTTGTCTGCGGTGTCATCAATAAGACAGAGACAGCGCAACAGCGGCTGGTCTCGAGCCAGAGTTCGTGATCGAGACGGCGATCTTGGCAACGAGACCATCTCCTGCCCAGTGGGCGTACGCGCAAAAGTGTCTATATTGGCCACATTCGACGTGGAGCCAGGAGAGCCGTGGACGCTGGGTATTGAGGTAGAAAGTGGCTCATTCGGCTGGGCGAACACAACAAACCGGCCGATGTAGGGCGGTGTGATGCTCTCGCGGTACAGCCGACTGGCGGGCTCTGTCACCTCTTGCAGCATGGGACACTCGACCATCCAGAGCCTGAGTGGAGAACACAAAGCGTGGAAACATGCAAAGGGGGGCAGACTTAAGTGACGAATAGACTACATCAAATTCGAACGGATAGGCGGCGACGCTTTGACATGCTTCTGCCTTCGTCAAGCGTCTGCCAGAGAACCAGGGAGCGAAGTTCAATTAGAAAAGACTGTCAGCTTTATTCATTTTAATCATAATTAAGTCTGCTTTTGCATCTCGTATTGTTGAATCTCGTACTTTGCATATCACAAGAGTATGTTAACCTCAGATTGCTGGCACAGGCTCCAACTCATCCCTACTACCGGCCCAAGTAGTTCGCTAAAAAAGGGTACTTTTCATAATTGCTTGTCCTTCTCTGAATGTCTTAGATGGCCTCACTACACTACAAACTTGCAGCTCAACAATTATGGAATAGTTCTTCGTCTGTAAGTAGGCTTTCAGGACTACCAGTAGATAACATATATAAGAAGTATTCATTCAATTTCGCTTAGGGTGATAGGCGGACTAGCAGTTAAATTTTTCCACAATGATATGAGCAGACATGACATTTCCATTGAATGTCACATAGCCTTGCTTTCCCAAAATGTATTCTCATCCAGGATGAACATGTCATATCTACTCTTATCATACCCTAAGCGAAAGAGTATGAATACATCTCATATAGATATGGGTTAGTTCGACAGTAGATTCTGACCCTGTGGTATAGTGACCACAAATTAAGACATTCTTGAAAGTGATATCATTATTCATCTCCCTAACCAAATTTAAACAAATTTAAACGAAAGATAGAAGGCAAAACAGGAGAAATTTTTAAGAAATTTAAGATCTAGGCACTTGCAAGCAATAGGATCAAGCCCCAAAGCAAAGATGCCTATGAAATTGCAAGGACATCCTGAATCGTATATTCGGCATAATTAATAGCCTCTAATTAAATGTCAATATTCTTGTGGATTCCAAGTTATATTATGGATGCTAAGAGTGCTCTGACATTTATGCCCTTATCCACAGAAACTGAAATCTGGTATTCCTGAAGGCAGAATAAATAAAAAGCTATGCACACCTGGCTGAAACCGTTGTCGTGAATGAAATGCAGTCTTTATGGCGAGTCATCGGCGTGGAGCCTGTGATGTCCTCCCAGACGGCTGGTGCATTCCCTCCAGTGATGCTACAGAGGAGGCGCACATTGTTCACCGGTACCGGAGTAGTTGTCCCCAGGCTACCAGCTTCGTGGCAATCTCTAATGCTGGGATCTGGCCGTCTCGGCAGTGGAATGGTCAACGTGATCGGTTTGTGAAACTTACGTCGTCTCGGCTCAATTGTGACGATTGGAGAGCAGGCAAGGCGGTTGCCAAATAGACGCGTGATCAGCTCTTGAGGTATCGAGTGAGCCTTGAATGGATAATTGTGAAAGTAAAGCTTATGCAAATTATGGGAAGTGTGGAAACCACGTTGGAATAAGGAATTCTATCCGAACCAGACAACGAGGATAAATTTCCTCAGGAATCAATTTTTTATTTGCATGCAAAAATATAACTAAATGTACGTAATTGAGCATAAAAAATACAGTAATTCTCGGGGATAAATTGATAAAAAGTAGTGAGAACAAGGTGTGAAACTTCTAGACACTTTTGGAAATAATAATGCCACCAAAACAATGGAAAAAGTTATATTTATTCTAGTAAGCAAGGTATTGGGCAATAAAAGTTGGGTTAATACAGTAGATATGGTCCTCTGCAAGGCTGGAATCTCAACACACTCATATGTAGCGTTTGCCTTTTTGGGGAAGAAATATAGGCATTCGCCTATGAATGCTCCTATTCACTGTCACCGAAATAGGAAACATTGTTATTGGACTGGTTAAAGCTAGAAGGAGCCTTAATCTGGACATGACTACAAAAACTTTCTTCCTGGAGACGAATCGCTGGCCTGATTCTTCTGGTGTGAATTCCCACTAAACCTTTGTGCTCCCTAGTGAATCTTCAACCTTCTGAAAATTAATAATAAATCGCTATAATATAATCCAAATTTTGGGTGCATAAGATGAGGAGCTGCTTAGATTATTCAAACGAGCACCAAAAGTTAATCAGATTCTCCTGAATATAATCCATAAATTGTTCGAAGATATGAAGACCAAGATATTGTGGCCTCTGGCATGGTCGCAGTCTCCTTTCGATTTATAGAAATGGGTTGACCTCGTTGTCGCAACTT